TCTGGGTTTGGGAGTATGAGAGCAAGTTTGGGAGGGCATGTTTGGAGCAGCTCCAGAAGATGGGTAGTGGACAAGTAGCAGTGGCAGGAGAGGGTGAGGAGCAGTCTCCCACCACCCAACCACGGTGAAGACACCTAGTGACCATGCCAGGGCCAGGCAGGCACTGACTGCCCAGCAGCACCATTACCGAAGGTCTCTGTAAACCTTCCCAGGGTGTAGCACAGGAGGTGTCTGCCTTGGCTTTAAATCATAGGTTTATGGGAGTCATTTGCGTTGCTTTTGTCTCCCGTGCAGGTAGTAAATACGTACACACCGGGAAAGAAGATCTGGCTGGAAGGTGTTGGTGCGACCTCGGCCGGAGGCATGAACAACCTCTCCGATTCCTATGCGGCCGGGTTCCTGTGAGTTATGCCGGCTCCCTGGGGCCAGGGGTTTCCCCATGGCCTCTGCGGGCTCGGGTGCTGCGAAGCCGCTGCAGCCGGGAGAGGGCCAGCTCTGTGCCCAGAGACCCCACCTGTACCCACCTCGGTACTCCCCAGCAGCCTGGGCACCATAATTTTCTCTGTAGCATCCCTATTATCCCTCCTAAGCTCTGCATTCCTGTAGGTGACCCAGCCTCTGGCATATCCAGAGAAGCAGAGTAAAGAGGGTACCACAGGAGATCCCACAGTGGTACCCACGGTGTGACCACAGGCCGTGGGCCTGAAAGGGAGGTGTGATCCAAGCATGCCAGGTCTGGGACCCCAGGGCTGGCATCCTGACAGGCTTTTCTCACTCGGTACCTTGGAATCACCTGGGCCTCCTCCCGCTCTGCGTTTTTGCTTCAGGCTGCAGCCACATGTCCTTGCATTCATTCATGCCTGGGGCACCTGCCCAGGGAAGCGCTCAGCAGGGCTCTGCTCTGGAAACCATTTTCTCTCCTTCTTCAAAGCCACAGTCATTCCTGGCTCCTGGGGCTTGTCTACTGGCACAGCTCCATGGCATGGGCATCCTGCTGCAAAGCCCCAGTTCAGATCTTCAGAGCTGGCTGTGGTCACGAAAGATGGAGGAAGATTATCCAGGCTTTGCGGGGAGGTGCAGGGACATTCCCCGGGGTATCAGGGCTGTGGTAGGCTGTGAGGGATGAAGATTTTGCCTCGGGGGATGTGAGGAGACAGGCCGGTGCAAAGGTCTGGTCCTCCCTGCTGAGACTGTGGGTGCAGAGTGCTGGCAGGCTGAGGGAGCACCCCAGGCTTTGGGCACAGGGCTGCGATGCTGGGGTGCACGCAGGGGCTCAGGCATGGCGTTTGGGACATGCAAGCCAGGCACAATTGGGGCAGAGGTGGCTGCGGCAGAGGGAGAGGCGTGCAGGCTTGCCAGGGCAGGGCTGGTGTCAGCTGGTTAATACCCAGCTCGCAAAACCGTCTGGAGGCTTCAGCTCAGGTGCTGAGAGCAGGCGCCAGGTCGGGTGCATGAGAGTGATGCCGTGTGCGGCTGTGCCGTTGGGGCCAGGTGGTCCCCCCGCAGTGACCTGACCCTGCTCCCTCCGTCCCCAGGTGGCTGAACACGCTGGGCTTGCTGGCCAGCCAGGGCATCGATGTGGGTGGTGGGGCGGCCCTCCTCCCTCGCCCCCAGCCACAACCATCTGGTAGACCAGAACTTCAACCCCTTGCCGGTAGGTCTGCCCGGGGGTGTTGTGATGGCGCTGGCTTCTCCCCACTCGTTTGGGGGGGACTCTCTCCTTGTGGCTTGTCTGAACTCTGCTTGAAAAATGGATTTTTTTTCCAGATCTGTTTCTTGCAGTGTTAATAGATGTTAGTTCATGTCAAATGCAACGTGTTGGAGGCAGATGGGAGAGCGATACCTTCGTAGCTGAAATTTCATCTAGCGCCCAGGGTCAGTAGCATGGGAGAGAGGCTGGTGCCACCGAGGGGTGCCATTGCAGACTGCAGAGTCGGAGGGAGGGGGGGGTGTGGTACAACCGCCACACATGGCACGGGGCGGGCAACTGGACTGCTAGTGGTGAGCTGGACCAGGTGAAGCCAGGCTGGAGCCTCAGCACCCAACTTCAGATCTCTAGAAAGCAAGGTGAAGGGCATTTGAAGGGCATTCCCAGCTTCACAGAGCAGCAGTCCTCACTAGTACCCTGTAGCATCCCTCCCTCTTCAGAAAGGCCTGGACAAGGAGGGACTCCCAGCACACATGGTACTGATAAAGAAACCATATGGAAAACCCTGTTAAAAGTAGCAAGTTTCCTTTTCCTTGGGGGGGGAGGGGGGCTACTAAATACTCTGCCTTGTAAGCAGAGAGCCTGGCAGAGTGGTTGGGCGCTCTGCATCTCCCCTGGAAGGGATTTATGGGTCCATGACCCAGCAGATGCTGCCAGCGGGCTGGAGATCCATGTCGGAGAGGTGCACAGCCCTGCCGCTGTGAACTGGCCTTTGATGCTGTGCTGGGATCTTGGGGGCGGCTGCAGGGGGGCAGAGGCTGGGGGAGCCGTGCCTTGGTTGGCTCTGCCTACTCAGCTGATGAAAACAGCATCCCCATGACAGCATCCCTGAGCGTTGGGGGAGGATGCGGGAGATGTCGGCGACAGGAGGTCTACGCTAAGCCCCTCAGCATGGCCTGCTGGGTGGCTCTGGAGAGCAAACCAGCGAGCAGGAGAACATGGTCCCCTGCCTGTGCTGCTCCCTGGAGCATGCTGGACTGCTCCCACATGCACCCCTCTGGCAAGCATACGTGCCAGCTCTGGGGGCCGGGGTGGAGGGAGCCTAGGGGGCTTTGAACTTTGAGATGAATCTGAGCCTGGGGCAAGCACTTGATGGATTTCTACTGAAGAGCCAATTCCCC